TTTTTTAATTTGTGTAAACTAAACACCTTATTTATGAATTTTTCCCATGAAACTTTCCGGTTGAGATATAGTTGTGCGAGCAAAATAAGCCCAAACTTTGACCAGAAAACCTTTCATTACCACATTTTCTTCTTAGGACCAAAAGAAAAGATTTAGCATGTTCAATCAACTTAACAAGTGGATTACGCCATTTATTTCCTTAAAAAAAAAAAAATACAAATATACTCCATTTTCATTCTTAATCGCAATTTCCTGTTTTAATTATTTGATGGGATTTACCATATTTTAATTAACTACACTTTCAATCCACCAAAGTTTTCCTCACCCATCCAAACAACGTTAAACACCATCAAACCCTAAAAATATTCCCTTCTAGCAAAAACCAACCCACATCCCTCGTCGTCGATGCCACCCATCATCGTCGTTGCCTAGTTCACAGTTAAAAATGTTCTATTTCATTTCTCGTTTTGTTTGGTTTCATGTTAAACCTCCTCAATCATCGCCGTTGTCTGATAAAAAAATAAAAAACAAATAAAAATCTATTTCTAGATTTAGATCGCCATGATGAGGACGTGTTAATCCTGGAATCAGGTCCAAGCTCGACAACTTATTCTATTTGTTTTTTTTATTTTCCTTTTCCCTCGATTTCTCCGTTTTATCTTTTCAGTCAATGAATAAGGCTAAGTTGTTAAAGATAATGATTTTCGAGATAGTGATGTTTTATGGACTGATAGTTTAACCAAAAAGTAACAACAAAGGGTAACACAATGTTACCCATGTTAAAAGTGAATTCTTTTATATGAAATTAACATTGTGTGGCATAACATATGATCCTGTAATATACATTAATATATATATATGTTACCACAAATTTTGTTTTAAATAAAAAAAATGAAAAGATTTAACGTTACTCTACAAATAATACAGTAACAAAAATATTACAATGACATTTAATTCGTAAAAAAATGTCGATATTTAATTTTAGATGGAAGGGAGGTATAGTTTAAAAAAATTATAAAGGGAGTTAAATGTTAAATATTATTTTTTTAATGAAAAATATAATATTCAAAATATGTAAACGGCGTATTTTTTAATTTTTGGATAAACGTGTGATTTTTGTGAAGTTATCCTTTCAAATAATTTTATTATAAGAAAATTGAGTTGGGTTTCTATATTTTCACGTGCCCAATCTTTAAAATGGAGGAAATGCGTGAGTTTGAACTCGTATAATCTGTAAATGTAGAGATTAGAATATGCATGCTTATTTTCA